CATGGTTTTTACTTCATCATTGGACTGCTTGTCTAGTCCAGAGAGAACTGCCTTGAATGGCTTAGTATCTCTTGTCTCGTAAGAGAAAAATTCACAACTGTTTTCCTTTAGCTTAATGCATAGCAGGTTAAAGTCAGATTCAGATTTTACGTATATTTTATGCCCAATTGAAATAGATTTGACATAATAATCGCTGATTTTGTTTTTTGAAAGCAAATTATGGACAAACTGCACTGTTTGTTTGATGACTGTGATTGGTGGTAATTTTACACTAGCCTCAGGCTCTGGTTCATTGATATTTTCATTGATATTTTCGTTTTCAAGAGTCTGCAGTGGACGAAAATAGTTTGAAAAATTGTTTTCAGTGTGTTTACGCGGCGAAGTTTTATCTTTCGTGCGAGGCATTTTACCGTTGGCAGGTGCAGTAGCACCGCCAAATGACAAATTACGACGTTTAATGATTGTTTTTGGTTGTTGCTATGCAAGAAACAGATAAGCACGCGCTATTTTTAGCTTAAAGTACCGTACGTTTTAAACGAAGAAGTGAAAAGATAATCGGATGACTCAGATTACGGTACGACCTCTCGCGCTGAGTGATACAACAAGACTGTTACTTTCTATGTAAGGAAGCGAAGAGCTAGTTATTCTAAAAAATTGATGTTATCATGTTCAGTGGGGCTCTCTTGTTCGTCGTCATCTTGTTCAATTTGTTGTGCGTACTCTTGAAGTGATTGTTCGTGTTCGGTCTGTTGTTCGTAGCTTTCGATGGTCTGTCCGTATTCTTCCATACTTATGGAAGCGTTGTGGTAGTCATTGTCGGGATATTCCTCTCCCGTTTGAATATTAAAATTTCTTTGTCTTTTATCTGTTGTATTTGCTATTGGTGGGGGCCTTTTCCCTGGTTCAAAATTTGGCCTGTTCATGTGATTTACCATCCGTGTATGGATGCTTTTGTCAACGTCCATTGGTTCGGGGCGTGGCTGTGGTTTGTGTGCTAATGGTCGGGGCGGTACGTTTGTCTGATGAGGTTGCGTTTGGTAATATTGTTGTGTATGGTATTGGTGTCCCTGATTCATGGTATTTGGCCATGCATGTTGCATTGGCACTTGAGCTCTGAAACCAATTGGTACAGTTCTCATCATCTGAGGGGGATTTTGTGCGTATTGAACCATACGCGTTGGTAACATGGGTGGTGTTGCGTTTCGGGCTACGCTTTTGTGACCTGTTTGATGGCTTTTATTGAAAGCTATGTTTGTTCTATAGTTCTGATTTTCTAATTTCAAACATAAATGGAGGGCTGAGGGAAGGTCTGCTGGTTCCTTTATGCTAAGAATACGTGGCAAGTCTCCTCTCAAACCTCTGATGAAAGTGTCTAATGCTTTTTCTCTCTCTATTGAGTTCCATACATCCTACCTTGTTCAGTATTAAAGTCAGCTGGTTGTAGACAACCTGATAAAACTGTTCTACTGTCTGGTTGTTGCCCTGTATTAACATAGTCATCTCGTATTCTAATGTATTTATATCTCTTTTATCTGCATAGTGCAGTGTGAGACACTTGGAGATGGCATTCCAATTAAGGGGTACATTGTACGATTCGAGGGCCGCGTCGGCTTGGCCGATGATCTTATATCTCACGGTATGCAAAATGCCATAGTACATTGGTGATCCAACTCGGCTTGCATATATGGAGAGTATGCGATCCACACTCTTTTTCCATGAGCTAAATTCGATTTTATTGCCGGAAAATTCCCTAAGACTTTTGACAATGTCTGGTACTCTGTTAAGGTCGTTCAAATTTTGATTGTCATTTATGGTCTGATCGTCCACGTCATTGAGTTCCCTGGAAGGGTTAACTATTTGTCTCACTAGCGTCGGAAGTTGTTTTGTCAAAATTTGAGCGACAGTGGCTGCAATCAACTGTTCTGCGTTATTCGCCATGCCTCTGTTCTGTAAATGTTCGTTCTGACGGTCTATATGTCATTGTTGCTGTCTATTGATAATATGTGCACCTACTTGGGGTTGCTCGACTAACACTGGGGGCCTAATCAAATTATTCTCGTTAGCCATACGTTATTAACTGCCTTTTATTGTGGCTTTGATCCATTGTTTTATGTTTACAGGTGGATTTATGATTGAATTTATTGATGTTAGTGTTAGTTTATAAATTTCATTAGTACAACTTAATTTCTATAAATAAATTTTTATTATACATTTTTTTTTTTTAAATTAAATTTAAATTTTTTATTTTTATTTTATATTAAGACCAGTGGCTGGTTTTTCCTTTTATTTTGGAGTGTCCCTTGGGAATCGCAAAGTTGGGTTATTTTATACTACTATTGTAGTCACTTTAAATTTGATCGCTTTACGCTTTTTTATTTTTTGTGTTTTCTTAATATTTTATTTTTTCTCTTAATTTTTCTCAAAATTTTTCTTAAATTTTCTTAAACTTGTTTAACTTTTATTTTTCTCAAAAAATTTTTCTTATATTTTATTACAATTATTTAATTTTGATTTTTCTTAAATTTTCTTATATTGTATTACACTTGTTCGCTTTAGTTTTGTTAGTTTCGTATTCTTATATTTCTAACTTACAATAATGATGATGTGGCGGTCTTCACTGCTGATCCGGATTTCAACCTTTTTGACTGTTCTTACTGGGGATCCTGCGACCAGACTCCGTTGAAGTATCCTGTGGGCGGACCGTACAGGATTACCGTCCACCGATGGGCAATCGAACGATCACGTTCCAGACTACCTTTAACGCATTTCACTGAACGTCGAAGTTACGCGACGTGAGTTGCTTTAGTGATTTTTCGGTCGCGCTCGAACAGGCGTTTTGCTGTGTTGTAACGCGATCGAATTTTCGTTTTATTTAAACCGACTCTGCTTTTAACTTGCAGTATCACGCACGTACTAAACGTTTTGCTGTATTGCGCGCGAAGCCGGTCCCTGCTCGGGCGCCAGTTAAGTTCTTTCTTTATTTAAACGGTAAAAAAAGATGTTTTTATATTTTACTGCTTAAATGCAGTCCGTTTTATTCAAGAACAAATTTGCAACTAAATTACTTAAATCAATTCTATCCCTAGCTGAGCTGTGGTTCAGTCGACGACGTTGGCAGCGGCGTCGCTCGTGATGTTGTTGAACCGTTGTGCAATTCTTCTTAGAATTGCTGGAGCTCTGGTTGGCGTGTGCAGGAAGTCCGCTAGACGTTGTGTCAGCAGTTTTGGCTTATTGGTCTGATCAGCTTGTTACGTTTTATTTGCGTTGCAACAATTCCCATTGGGTTTTGTTGCAATGTAGAATATTTTTGTTTTTAACTTGAAGAATATTTTTGTTGTTAACTTGCACACATATGCAGGTCAATTGGACCTTTTTTTATGAAATATTAATCCGCATACAGGTCAAATTGACCCTTTTTGAAAGGGTGCATACGCATAAGTTAACAACAAATATATTCTTCAAGTTAAAAACAAAAATATTCTACATTGCAACAAAACCCAATGGGAATTGTTGCAACGCAAATAAAACGTAACAAGCTGATCAGACCAATAAGCCAAAACTGCTGACACAACGTCTAGCGGACTTCCTGCACACGCCAACCAGAGCTCCAGCAATTCTAAGAAGAATTGCACAACGGTTCAACAACACCACGAGCGACGCCGCTGCCAACGTCGTCGACTGAACCACAGCTCAGCTAGGGATAGAATTGATTTAAGTAATTTAGTTGCAAATTTGTTCTTGAATAAAACGGACTGCATTTAAGCAGTAAAATAAGAAAACATCTTTTTTTACCGTTTAAATAAAGAAAGAACTTAACTTGCACAAGTGCATGGGTTCGAAAATCGCATCCCATTTTGCACACTGGGATTAATCAGGTACTACATTTTTGAAAAAAAAAATTTATGATAGGCAAACCCACGATCACTGACATAAAATCAGGTACTTAAATATAAGCGCACCTCTTCAATTAAAACCCAAAATCGTTCACACAATTCTAAGTTGTCGTAGGCACACGTCAATGCTACATACATAAACATACACAAACATACGCACATTCATATAAAGGCACTGAAATGCTCAAATGCTTCTACAATGATTACCCCATCATTTGTGAGCATCGCGGCCCCTGCGTACACACAATCAAACATATGTATGTAAGTGTGAGCAGTTCACAAGATCAACCAAATGCAAATGCTGGGCTTTAAAATTGCTACAGGCAGCAAGAGCCTCGCACACAGGCATACAAATGCTCATAGTACATGTAGCATGGGAGAGTGTGTGCGTGCACGCTCGTCGCGAAAGCATTTTCATTATGAGCACCAACGCTTTCATACCCTTCCCACAAATAATAACGAAAACGCAAACATTCTTCACGAGCATGGTAAACGGCTTGAAAAGTTCGGTATACTCTTCACACAGAAGGGAAGGCATGTGTTCTTGCTGCGACAAAATTTCAATTTTCGTGAGCTGCTGCTTGTGCTCACATGCATACATACATATACACATTCGAGAGAGCAGAGAGCATCGTGAGAGAGAGAGAGCAAGGGAAACATTCAGCGCAGAGGGATCTTTTGTTCAACAGTCGACCATCTCGGTCGAGCGCATGAAGCGAAATGATTTTGCGTTCGTATTTTTTCGTAGCTTGAACCTAAAAGTAAGGAGCCGAGCGAATCCAAAGCTGTATGGGGTGTTAAAGCCTCAGAAAAAGCGTGCAAAAAGCTTTCCACTAGTTGTCTAGTCTATGTGTTCTCTGGTTAGTGTCTGTACATAATAAAGCAAATTATTTTCTTTTTTTTTTTAATTCCAATTACCGCTGCTGTTTCCGAATTTTTCCTGCAATTGAATTTTGAAAAAAGCCAGATTTGACGGGGTAAAAGCTGATTTTGCAACACTGAGCTCGTCCAACATGTTCGTGTTACAAATTCGACTGTGGATACATCTTAACTGAAAAGCTATCGATAGATGTACTCGATATTTTTGTTATATATTTACCATTTCCTTTTATTCATTATCAGTCTGTCTTTTTTTGTCTATTCGTTTCTTTCGGAAGGCTAGTACTCAGACTAGTTTTCATCAAAATAAAAACGGTATCATAAGTACAATATGGTTTTATCTAGCTGAACATATTACGACTGCGACCTACACATCCCTTTGTACATATATACGTGTTCAAAGTACTATAATATTTGTGTATGTATAAAACATATATATATATATTTTTTATTACTTTCTGTGTACGCCTTTATGTACATATGCCATTAAATTGTGCCATCTTACATGTATAAACTTTTTTCATTTTGTACTGTCCAAAATACTATTATAATCGCATACGTGCTTTCTATGCATAACTACATACATATGTACATATCCATGTATGTATATCGAATTCAAATTAAAGTGTGTGTAGGGATGTACATGTATTTGGGTGACTTAAAAAAATTGTGCCTTGAAATTTTTGTAATATATATATGTATATACATATATATGTATATATATACATATGTCGCGATTGTTTTAATATAATAAAAAATAATGCAATTGCGAAATTTTCCCTTTTAAATAATAGTTTATAATACATTTGCAAAATGAAATATCGAAAAGGTGGCAACACTTCAGAGCCAATAGTAGTAGGGTTACTAAAAATGTTATTTTTTTAATTTCTATATAAATAAATAAGTTTGCAGTAAGCAAAATACTGTTTAGTCTTTGAACAAAATTGGTTTATTAAATATTAATATTCAATTAATTAAATATTAATATTAATCACAATTTAAAATGGGTAAAAAAATGTAAAAGACAGAAGCAGTAATAGGAGTACGTACATACACTATTCGGCATAATTATTTTGATGAAAAAAATTTTCGCGTACTATGAGAAAAACGTTTTAACGGCGTTGTTGTAGAAACTAACATATGCAGCCAAATATTTTTTCACAGAAATTTACAAAGATATTTATTAAATTTAAATTCAGGGAATGGTATATACACTGTGCATCATCAGACACTCAATCTCAATGCTAAATAAAATCTAAACCATCAGAGCTCCATCTTTAAATATTTTTTTTAATGTACTACATATATTTCTCTTTAAAATAAAAAAATTTGGTCAACAGATGAGCGCTCCCTGCGATAAATTCAATTTATTTATGTTGACCAAAAATAACACCTGTATATTAAGTTATTATTACTCTTAAGTAATATTAGTAGTGCGTAGTGCCGCCTTTCTTTAAAATTACTTCAAGAATTCGATTAGGAATGGAATTATAAAGTTGTTCACTATAATTCAAGGATATGGTTGACCATGCGTGTTCAATACCTTCGATTAACTCTGTCTTTGTACTATAACGCTTTCCGGACTCATACACTTTCCTGACCGACCATCCCCAGACGTTTTCAATGATATTAAGGTCGAGTGAGTATGGTGACCACTCCGTGAGGTCAACTTTTTGGCCCTGAATCCAAGACTTCACGGATCGGGCGGTCTGCATTGGAGAATTATCTTCCTGGAAAATCTAATGCCTGTTTTTAGACAGGTTTTAGAAATGCGGAACAGCAGTTTTAAATACGGTGCAAGTGCCGTAGTAAGATATTGCTACCTACACCAATGTAACAGAATCCAGTTGCTCGGCTTACTCGGATAGCGGCGGCGGTGGCGGCAAGCAGCGAAATGCAGAGAGCCACAAGGCGCTGACCCAGGCACAGCAGCGTATCAATGTAAAGCGACATTTTCTTACTTGTTTTGTTATGAGAGACATCTCATATGATGATAATCAAATCAAAACAAAAACAAGTAAGAACGCTGCAGTCGGGCGATACCGATTGAAGAAGACTCATTCACAGCCCAAACGCTGTCAACCAGAGTATATAGTGCAATTTTCAAGTGTAGTGCGCAACAAAAAACAGGGCATGATCCCATTAAAATTGGAAAATCATCGATAGCTATTGCTATGATCATTGCATTATTGCATTCAAATTACATACATATATAATTTATAGAATTTTGACTTTTAATAATATATGTATATTTATTTTCCTATACATGGGCACACACTCATCGTCTATTCTATGCGTGCAGACAGAAGCGCGCCTTTTCTCACATTCTTAGAATTTCGATTGATTTCTGGACTTTTTAGCCGTTACTGTAGTTTTGTCTGATGACGCTCTCTTAATAAGCTATTCTATTTTAGCAACTAGCTGGTCAAGCAAAGCAGTGGTGCGGGTGCAAAGGGCGACGCAAGTAATGTTAGAGTAGGAGGTTCGAACCTCTTCGATGCTATTTTTTTTTTTCATACATATTTCGTTTTTTATAAAATAGATATTTTATTGGGAAGGTGCGAGCTTGAATGAATGGCACTTAATCCTTTTCTTTTTCTTAGCCGACTAATTTTATAAGTTTAAATTTGTTTCTTCTTAAATACATATACGCCCTCAAATACATACATATGTATATATGTATATTTGTAAGTCTGCACGAATAGCATCAAGCATTTCAGCCTCATACACGCGCTCATTTGTATGTGTGTATGTATGTATACATAAATGCGTACTCTAGCATATTCTAAGAATCTAGTTGCGATTGATTTGTCTTTGCATTTTTTTAAATTTCCAGCCGCTACACTAGATTTTCTTTACTATGTGGCGTCATAACAATAATGTGATTTTGTTTTAACTGATGCGGTAGTGCTGTAGGCTGAAGCGCCGGCGATCTTTATTTTAGATATTTTGACATGAACATGCTATTCGGCTTGGGTGCGAGTTCAAATCCCGTGGAAAACTCGTTTTTGTAAATTGCAAATTTTTTGTTATTTTAGCTTTTTTATATTTTATTAATTTTATAAAAATGTTTCCTTCCGTGATATTAATGTCTATTAAGCCTATTTATGTGTACACATACATAAACAGATAGCTGACGCATATAAATGACGCAATACGGGCACTATAAATGCCGATTGCCACGCCCCTAGTGGCCGTAGACTCCTCCTTTTTGGTCAGTTCTTTAAACGAGCAACCGGTAACCTAAATGCAAAATTTGAATTCTTACGCTCAAAAAATGTGAAAATTACAGGATATTTTTCGATATGCCACGCCCCTAAAGAGGCGTAAAAATTATTTTTGGGGCATCGATAGAGGAGGCTACCAGTAACTAAACTATCCAAATTTGAAGCTTCTAGCTCTTAAACTGAAGGAGATATAAACTTTTGCGGTTTGCCACGCCCCCATGGGCGGACATATATCTACCATAGCTCGTTGGACGTGGGTGGTCAACCCGCGTATATATACCAAATTTCAGGTCTCTAGCATCAATAGTGTCCAAATTATAGCCGAATTCGAAAAATCACTATATCTTCAGGTCCGATTTGCCATGCCCCTAGTAGGCGTAGATATATAATTTTTCCACCCATCTTTATAGAATTAAAACATCAGCTTACGTGCAAAATTTCAGCATTCTAGGTTTATTTTGCCACGCCCCCAATGGGCGGAGATATATCCGCCATAGCTCGTGATCTTGGGTGGTCGACGCGGACCTACATACCAAATTTCAGCTTTCTAGCTCTTCAACAAACGTGATTTATGGTATATCGGAAAATGCATTTACATGTATTTGCCAAGGCACAAGTCTCTAGTACTTGAAATACGCCTTTTACAAAGGTGATGGTGAGGGGGTGAACTAGGAGTGGGGGGCGAAATTTGACAAAAGTGTATATAAGTATACATATAAATTTTGTAGACTACTTTGAAAGATGTAGGAGATATAAATTTATTACTGGTTTTTGATAATTTTTTTAATCGATAACAACATAACGGGGAAAGTTATCGATATTTAAAGCAAAACTCGATATGCGCGTGCTATACACGGACCTAGGAAAAAAAATTCCAGTCTCTAGCTCTTATATCTTCTGAGATCGACGCGTTCAAACATACGGCCGGACAGGGCTATATCGACTCAGCTCGTCGTCCTGATCAAAATTCAAGTCTCTAGCTCTTATATCTTCTGAGATCGACGCGTTCAAACATACGGCCGGACAGGGCTATATCGACTCAGCTCGTCGTCCTGATCAAGAATATATATACTTTATGGGGTCTGCCACACCTTCTTTTGCCTGTTACATACATTTAACAAAACCATTATACCCTGATTTCCCATTTTCAATGGGTTCAGGGTATAACAAGTAAGAAGACTCTAGTCGAGACTGCTCGACTAGGAGATACCTTGAACCCTCTAATCTGATATTCTAATCAGTTTGCACTTCTTTTCGACACACATATATACACACACACGTATTAGAATGCGCTCTACTAACTGCGCTTGGGCTGCGCTGTAGTGTAGGTAACATTATAAGAATTTATTTGTTGAATAATTTAATTTCTATACGTACAATCTTAATGAAAGTTTCAGGGCGTAATTATATGGTGAAAATGTATGTACATTCTAAAGCACATGTCTCTAGTACTTGAAATACGCCTTTTACAAAGGTGAGGGTGAGGGGGTGGATATAGGGGTGGGGCGTAAATTACAACAAAAATCGAAATTATATAAAATACATATAAGTCTACATTTAAAATTTGCAAGCTCTAGCTCTAAAGGTGTAGGAGATATAATTAAATAACTAGCTTTCGATAAGGTTTTTGATCGATAATAAAATATCGGGAGTTATCGATATATAAAGAAAAACTTGATATGCGCGTGATATACACTGACCTAGGAAAAAATTTCAAGTCTCTAGCTCTTATATCTTCTGAAATCGACGCGTTCATACATACGGACGGACGGACAGACAGACGGACAGGGCCAAATCGACTTAGCTCGTCGCCCTGATCAAGAATATATATACTTTGTGGGGTCTGCCACGCCTCCTTCTGCCTGTTACATACTTTTAACAAAACCATTATACCCTGATTTCCCATTTTCAATGGGTTCAAGGTATAAAAATAAAGGAAAATGTAATACTTAGAAAAACAAGTTTGAACTAAAGAAAAGCAAAGGAATGGAGACAAATTTATTCAAATGCAGCATATATCTTTAGGCTTCATTCAAATTTTGGTCAGTTCTTTTATTTTTTAATTTCAACCGCCCATAAAAAAAGTAATATTAGTTGAAATTAAAAAATTTCAAATGCTAAATTGTAGATTGCGGAATTACCTTTCCGATGAGGGATATATCAATATAGTATATTTAATATAACTAAAAAA